AAAAAAAAAAAAAAAAAAAAAAAAAAAAAAAAAAAGAGGTACTCAAAAAATTATATTTATTGTATTAAGTTTTTTCTAAGAGATTTCACAAGTGCTGATATGAGGCTAAAGAGATAAGATATAGAAGAAATGGAATCATAGACAATGGAGGCCTAATTAGAAGGTCACTGAGTGCCAAGGGAAAATCCAAGTATTTGTCTGCTTGGTTACTGATACTGAAAGAGAATCTTATAAATACCAAAGGAGTTTATGTAAACAAGTGCTTCAGTGATAAATTTTACCCAAGTCAATGCTATGTTTATTCTCACCTCTTTACGGTGATTATATCCTTACAAATGTTTTTCCACACACTCTTATAACAAATCACATTATATATGCTGAGTTGAACAATGTTTATTTTGTGGTTGGTTGTTTGTTTGTTTTTAGAGACAGGGACTCTGTCACTCAGGCTGGAGCACAATCATAGCTCACCACAGCTTCAAACTCTTGGGCTCAAGTGCTCCTAAGTAGCTGGGACATACTTCCAAACCCAACTAATTTTTTTATTTTTATTTTAGTAAAAATGGGCTCTTGCTATGTTACCCAGGCTGGTCTTGAACTCCTGGCCTCAAGTGATGCTCCCCTTTCAGCCTCCCAAGCCGTTGAGATTATGAGTATGAACCACTGTACCTGGCCAACCCTGTTGATATTGATTGATGAGAAAAAAAATTCATGCTATGGCACATTGGCACTGCATGTAAGCACACACAATAAAATACTTTTTCTTTTTACAGGCACAGTAGTGTTTATAAAACTATACAAATATTTACCGGACTAATTTTCAAACTAAGCTATTTTAAAACACAGAAATGCTTCCAGGAAGAATAATCATCCAGGACTTGCTGGGTAAAGGGAGGGACACTAAAATAGTTGACATCATTTATATGCTGCTAATGGTTCAACAAGTTCTTGGGATTCAGACCCTGCTAGAGCTGTGTCGGTGTTCTGGTTTGCATCCAGTTCACAGAAGGACATGAGGGTGTGGTTTACTTCTCACGCGATTCGAAGATGGAGTCTAGCAAGTATTCTAAGAGGGTCCCATAATAATCCATTCAATACTTTTGCCTCAAATACTTTGGGAATAATACCTCATTATTTTCTTTCTCCCTCCTCTCAAATCTAGAAATCCAATCTTTTTTGACATATGCATATAGAAGTCATTGGATTTCAGTATTGAGGAGATAGAGGCTACTGAAATCCATATGTCTGCCTCTGAGGTCTTCTCTGGAAGAGGTCTCTGATGAAGAGGACAAAACTCTTACTTGATGTCACAGTTTGAGTAAGAGGAATGGGATAAGTTCTTGGCAGCCACCAGCCACCAGGAGATGGCTGAAATAGATTACTGGGAAATTCAAGGCCAATCAATAGAATTATCTGGAGATAAACTCTCTGGGACAGTGTTAATCAGATTGTCATGCCCTATTTGAGTCACAGTTTGTGTTAGTCAGAGATACGGTGAAGTCTAAGGAGGATGGGGAAGAGTGATTGGTGGTAGCAGATAAAAGACAAATGAATCAGTGGGATCAATGGAGATGACCAGGTTTGGTGAGAAGACAATATCATGACAGAAGGTGTCCAGAGACAGAGTGAGACACAGACACAGGAACAGGATCCTGTGCCATGCTCCAGGAAAAGCATGGAAAAGGCAAGTGGTGAGGGCAGAAGACAGTTCTACAAGAACATGAAGTCCAGACACACAAAGGGCTGGAGAGGCAGAAACACAGTGGTGAGGGTGAGCCCGAGAGAAGATGTGGGGAGCAAGGACTCATGGCAGAGAAGACCCTGGTTTACCAAGATGAGAAAGTCAACTGTGAAGGTGTACTAAGAACACATGAAGGATGAGTGGAACCCAGGGGCCACAAAGTCTTTGAAGGCAGAAGATATAAGACAATCTATGGGCAGGAAGAAAAACATTAGTGAAAATATGCAGGCCAATGTCAGAGGGGCCTCGGATGGCAGAGAGAAGACCAGTGATGTGCGTGAAAGGAGTGCTGTGGGAACAGACCCAGTGTGAAGTTATGAGAAAAAGTGAGATGGTGAGGGAGAATCAGAGCCGAGACAGGAACCAATGATGAGGCCGGGCCCAGTGGCTCACACCTGTAATCCCAGCACTTTGGAAGGCTAAGGCAGGCAGATCACAAGGCCAGGAGTTTGAGACCAGCCTAGCCAAAACGGTGAAACCCCATCTCTACTAAAAACACAAAAATTAGCTGGGCGTGGTGGTGGGTGCCTATAGTCCCAGGTACTCAGGAGGCTGAGGCAGGAGAATTGCTTGAACCTGAGAGGCAGAGGTTACAGTGAGCCAAAGATCATGCCATTGCACTCAAGCCTGGGTGACAGAGCAAGACTCTGACTTAAAAAA